AGTAAATTACAGAATTATAAATGACTGAAAGTAAATTACTGGAAATTAAATTACAGAAAGTAAATTGCAGAAAGTAAATTGCAGTAAAGTAAAGTGCAGAAATTAAAAGACTGAAAAGTAAAGACTGAAATTAAACTACTAAAAGGTAAATACTAATAACTAAAATTATTCTAAGACAAGACATAAACTAAATACTTATATGCTAAGATGTGACAAGTGAAAGCTTAAAAAAAGGAATATTTAAAGAAACTTGCACTCCAAGTTAAAAAAACTTGCAAGACAAGTTTCGTTACTAAAAATGAAGAGTTACTTGCAAACAAAATATTTAGTCTACGAAAATTAATCAAGAGCCACAAAGGATGAAATCCAATGTAAAGCAACAAAGATCGATATATTTCAACTTTGTAAAGAAAGTCAGAAAGCGTTTATAACTTGAAAGTATTTAGAGAGTAATTGTTTAATCCAATTAAAACCAAAAGCTAAAATATTTAGAGAGTAATTGTTTAATCCAAAGGTTGTGTGTACAAAAACAAAGGCTTAAGCTTCTATTTATAGAGAGTTTGGAGCTTGAAAAAGGGGGTTAACTAATAAGACATTAGAGGTCTTCAAAACAGGCTTTGTGATGGGTCTCGAGTCCGGCAAATAATAGAATTTTTTAAAAATAAGCCTATTATGTCTAAAATACGACTTGTGATAGCGATAAGTAGGGTTGTCTCCTCAGGAACTCAGTGTTAATCGTAAGTCTAAAACGTAACCGTGTGCAAATTCATAAAAAAATGTGTGTATATATAAAAAGGGGGGGTTGGAAGATTGATAAATGGCCTAAATACGCAAATTAAATTGAGAACTTTAAATAATAACGAATAAATTCTAGTGATGAGTATAACTAGTTCTTTATCAAATCATGTATCATTGACTTGTAAAAAAACATTTTCTCAATAGATTTTAGACCGGTCGTGAGTGTCGACACGTGCCAAACACTCAGCTTGTCTTTATAATTAAACTAGCACGAGAAGCTCGGTAGATTAGTTCCTAATTGATTAAGTTGATTCTAGTCACGGATATAAAATTGAACCTACCAATTGCCTTAAGTAATAAACAAGCACCAATCCTAACTAATGAACGGAAACCCGAACATTTAAGCTAGATTACACAGTCCTATAACGCAAACCAATGAACTTGGTTGTCTATTGATGCACTATTTGCTACCAAGTGGAAATTAAGAACAATTACAAATTCCTAATCATAACTAGCAATTCAAATATAGGCTAAAGGATTCAAGGGATCCTTCTCAAAACCAAAATCCCAAAAATGAAGAACGATTCTGAACAAGAATTGTGCAAAAAAATTCAATTAAGGTTCAATGTTAAACAAGTCTCAACAAAATTCAATTCAAATTAGCTATAATCCCATCACTAGAAACAGAAAATTAGCAACTCATAATTCTAAAATCTGCAAATTGATTTCAGTTTCTTCTCAGTTTCTGTTTCTGATCAATTTCAGTTTCTCCCTCAATCGACAGCTTCCTCCTTCTTCGATTTCTGCCTACCTGGTGATCGACTTCTATATCTTCAATCCCCTTTTGTCTCGAGCTCTGTCCTCTCTCGATTTTTCCTCTTGATTTTCCTCCTCAATCGACAGCTTCCTCTTTCAATCGATTTCTTCCTTTTAATTGCCATCTCTCTTTCCACGATCTCTCGTCTCTCTCTCTCTCTCGATGCCCACGTTGCTGCTGCTCAATGTCAAAAACAAAGACCGATTGTTTCTCTAGTGTTGGGCAGCAGCCCTATTTTTCTTTTGGGCTGCTGCAGTTTTTCTTTTGGGCTGCTGTAGTTTTTCTTTTGGGCTGCTGCTACAGGGCTGTTTGGACACAGCAGCAGGGCTGTTTAGAGACTGTTTCTGTGTTGTTTGGCTGCCGTTTCTCCTGCTGTTTGGCTGTTGTTTCTTGTTTGGCTACAACAGTTGTTTGCTGTTTGGCTACAGCAACTGTGTTGTTTGGCTACAAAAAACAATTAATCAATTTTTTTTCTTTTTCAACTTAAATAGCCTCAAGAAGTTAAATATCAACTCAAAATTAAATTGGATCTTTTTAAGCATCTATTTAACATTAATTTCAAGGTAACTTGACATAAAAATGTATTAATTGGGTGCTTATCAAGTTCCCCCACACTTAGATCATTGTCCGTCCGGACAATGACTTGAGTTAGCACGTAGTTATAAAAATCGAATCCAATGAGAATGTCAACACATATAACATATCATGAGTTTGAAATTTGCAACAAAGTATTGAAAAGAGGATGCACACGCAATCAAGTAGACACAAGCTAATCTCGAGACTCTCACGAATGGAATTAACAAAGCAACACTCGATTCACTCCTTGGGTTAATGTGTATCGCTCAATTCGTCAATGCACTAGCATGTACCTACCATATACTTGAAAAGTCTCTCACTCTCCACTACTTGGATAAAATACATGCTTATAAATCAAAAGGTCTTAAAAGGTGTAACGAAAAACAAGGCTTTGGGTATGGTAGAGATGTATTTTTGGGAAAAAGTGACAAAGGACCTTTTATCAAATGGACAACCCGGTTACTCAACCATGAGAATTTTGTTCTACAAAGGAATTTCCATATCTATCTTTTAATGAACATTCCCCTTTAGGCGATAGGAAATAAAGATAATTTGAAGCATATTCAACCTCATCATTCTGATTATCGTCTTTGGCTTCTTTATCTCTTCTTTTTCGAATTTTTCTCTTCTTTTTCATTCATTCTTCCCTTTCATTTTTCACTTTTTTAGCATTCTCCAACATATAAATACAACTTTTTGAGCATACAGGAAAACCGGGACTACTCCATTGGTGATTGGTCAGGTGAGTTGTGTTTGGATTAGTTCATGATGTGGGTGACAAAGGAAATAGGCTAAGGCTCAAAGCAGTGTGCAAAAGGGATAGTCACAACATAAAGGGGTAGGCTTAAGGTTAGTGGTTTAACATAAAAATGAGCAAACGATGGCCTTTATCATGTTTATTAGCATGTAAATATCATGTAGTCTTAAGGAGAGACAATGCAAGTTCTAGAGGTACATATCTAGGCCCGACGTAATCACACAAGAAATGAATTTAAGACT